GATGATTTAATGGTACGAAAAAATGAACTAGTACAAGTACTTCGTTGTTCACATCCACATTGGGTTTGGGTACGTAATGAAAAAAGTCAAGAAGGTTTTATACCAACTGATTGTCTTATGGGTCTTAGTTGATTGATAAATGGACTGAAGAAAAAAAACAATATTATTTTCTTTTATCCATATATTCTGTAAATAAAAGACGATTATGCATTTTTTGATGTTGTTAAATACATATGTATATTTTTTTTTCTATTTTGAATAAAAAGATATGATTTATTCTATATGAAAATAGTTTGTTGATTTTTGAAAGATAAGATTAAATTTATCGCGAAAGATGAAACTAACGAGAAAAGTCTTCGATCATAAGCTGTTTTAGTTTAGTTTTTTCATGATTTCTGTATAAAAATTAGACATAGGTAGAGAGGAAGATTAATTTTTGATATAAAAATAACATTGTTACTGATTAGAGGTTTAGTTTTTTTTTCATCTAAATGTTTGATATGAATGGACAACTATCATGTACTATAAACTCTGTGGGAGAAATAGTAGTGACTTTAGTTTTTTAGTACCATCAAGTGTTTCGATATCCTACGAAGTTTTGAAGTCTACGATATTTCCTTTGATAAACTTATAAAATAAGCTTACATGATTGACAATATCGATCGTTATGACAATAGATTATAAGTACTCGGATAGAGAACTCAGAGTCAGGATATTTTCGTATTCATACTCATTTTCTAATCCTTTGTGTTTAACTTAACATTAGTATACTTTGCAGAATAAGATGACTTTTTTTAGTGTTATCTCTAAACGAATTCTTGAACGTATATTTCAGTCATAGTTGCTTATAAAAATCTTTTGAAGTACGAGTTTTATATGGCTAACAAATGAACCTCTCTCTAGATGTCAAATCACTTTCTGATTGAGATGATGTTTGTTTTATGTGTACTAGTAAATAACAGAAACGTCTAGAATGGTTTGATTTTCTGGATCTGCATTCTTGATGTATTGATATTTTACTATATTTTCAACAAAAACTTATGATTATCCTCAAAGGATGGGAAATATAGAGTTTCGACTTCAAACTTTGCCAGAACAAAGTTCTGAATGAGATTAGTTGATTGAATATTTAATATCTCAGTATATGGGAAAGTGGAAAAGTTACAATTTTGCCCACTAAAATTATCTCGTTGAGTGTTTTATTCGTAGAATGTTTGAAGTAGATTACAGGAGAACCACAAATTTTTGTTTAAAAAACCCGATAAAACTTTGGTATCTAAAGAACAAAGACTCGGATAATAAAATGCTTCTAGGCTTTTCTATTCTTCACTAGCACTCATTACACAAATATCGTCTGTATTGACAAGCGATTTAACACCTGAAAAGATTAAATCGTAAGTTCTGTCGATATTCATAGCGATCAATAGGAGCATAATACATTTAGACATTTTTGTAAAGTGCAAAAAGATGAATTATCCTATTGATGAGTAGTTTGACATGTATGTCTCATCGCTCGTCAAGGAATTAATTTCGCAAGAACATTCGTTTCGTTTTATTTTTTTCTATTCTCATATGTTTATGACACATGTTTATTGTAATTGCGCAATGTATGTGTAAAGGAATATAAAAATCTCGTATACATTCTATTTGAAAATAACAAAATGGGTGATGAAGGTTCTATCCAAGATTTGGAAGTTGAATGGCACGATTTCTTAATGAAATTTCATGCAGAAAACGAAAATGCTAAACAACGTTTACGTAAAGTAAATAATTTAATTTATTTTATAAAAAATCTTTGTCATATGTGATTGCTAGGTTAATCTGTTCCCAGAAAAAAATCTTGTGCGTTTTGTTCTTTACAATGTATTTTCACCAGATGAATGTCAATTTCTTATTAATTCAATAGAAAATATGGGTAAATATATTGTTTTTTTTAAATAGATATATCAATCAATTTTTGGTTTTTTTTATTTTTAAATAAATCAAATAGGTTTTAATAAACTTTTGTATGGAGAAAATTATCGAACAAATACAAGGTAGACATCTGTTTTGTTATCTAAACTAACAAGAATTTTATCTCGACATTGTTTTAGAACTCAAATAACACAACAAAATCTTGCAAATGAATTTTTTCTTCGTGTAGAAGGTAATACTTTGTAAATTATTATTTATATTTCTATAGCTATATTATTTTATAAATGAAGATTTTCTACCAAAACAATGGCCTGGTGAAAAAAATACTTCACATTGGGAATTAATGAATCTAAATGAACGTATAAGAATATGCCGGTATGAAAATAAAGTTTAACAAAAACCAAAAAAAGAAAAGAATAAAATACACTGATTGTGATTTAGATATGAACCAGGTCAATATTTTGCTCCTCATTTTGATGGAATATTTAAACGTTCTTATATGGAACAAAGTCAAATGACAATCATGGCATATCTTAATGATTCATTTACTGGTGGTAATACTAATTTTCTTGATGATAGTATTAAATCACATCCAATTACTTATGCATTAAAACCTGAAACTGGTATTATATAATATAATATATTTTATGAATGAAACTATTTTTCATTTAAAATAATATTATTTTAGGAATGGTTTTAATTTTTCAACATGACATGTTTCATGAAGGTGAAGCAGTTTTAACTGGCAAAAAGTATATCATGCGCAGGTAGAATATTAAATTATTGAGGGTTTTTTTTTTTTTTTGTTATGAATTGAAATTTTTTAATATTTATTATTAATAGTGATGTGATATACAAAAGAATATTAATTGAACCAATGTCTAAACAAGAACACGAAGCACGAGAATTACTTGCTCAAGCTGAACTATTTGAAGATCAATCAAATTATGATGAAGCTAGTAAATGTTATCGAAAAGCGTATAAATTGTGGCCAGATTTAGAAAAAGAGTTTGGAAAATAGAAATGCCTTTCTTTTCGCAATATAAAAAAATTTCAATAAAATATTGATATTTTCTATATTCATCTATGTTTAATTTCGGCTAACAAGGAAAGTTCGTTAACTGATCAATTGCTTTGAAGTCAAGACTATGTGTAAGATGTAGATCCTCATGAATTATAAATACCGTGAAAGCAGTTTAAACTCGTAGCTTATTGCTTCAGATGAAGAAATTTTCAAATTGCTTTTCGACCAAGACGATATTCCGTTGATGACTAATAGAAAAGTCAAGAGCTAGACAAAGTACTCAAAACTGTAAATAAGTATGCATTACATCGAAATGATGTTTTATAAACAAGGTGAATTAATTAATTTCGACAAAAGTTCACAAATGAAGATCAAAGGTTTTCTTGTTTCGTAGAGCCATTTTAGAGCTCGTAAGCGATACCAAGCAGATTTCTTAATTTTTTTTTTCATTTGATAAAGTTTGACGTTTATTCCATTTCCACTTTAATAATATTAGTATGTACAGCAAAATCTATAGAAATGAAAAATTAATTAGTGTGTTATCAAAAAATTTGATTTAAAATTTAGCAATAACGATGATGCGTATTATACTATCAATATACAGTGTCTTCAAAATTGGACCCTGATTGATTTAACAAGTCATAATACAAATAGACAATATAAGGATTAGATCAATGTTTGCATTATAGTGAATTTGAATTGACGATAGTCATCTCATGAGAGACGATATATTGTATATATTAATTTTAATGATACTATGACCTGCATCTTCTTCACATGCAGTCATAAGGATTTTCTCCTCTTTATCTATAGAAATATATATATGCACTTATGTTCTTCTTCTTTTCTCTTATTGTTTAGTGATGCGCTACGAACTTTTCCTTTCCTTTGATATATGTTGGAATTATCCCTTCGGTTCTATTCTTCTTTCCATCATGTTGTTCTATAAATGTTTCCTTCCTTTGTTCATCGTTTATGGGATTTACTATTAGGAATTATATATAGCGTTTCGTTATTGCGTAGAGCATGATTGAATTGTATTGGAAGAGAGAAACAGTTATACAAATACAATATAAGTGGAATTAAGATCTCACAAATTATTATCCTCATTGATTCCAATTGAAAGATTAATCAAAGTCGAATTTGGAAACAATTAAGATGGACCAGTCTATTTTCATTGTCGACTAGGGACAGTTTGATGGTAGATCCATGATACTATTTAGACAATTAATAGAACTTTCAATTTCATGGTAGTGCTTACAAACATTTATTATGCTCTAATATTATAATTATAAAACATATATGTGGTATAATGCACTCTTATCTTTAATAACCACCCATATCAACCATCCGTTGTGTGTGAATAAATACTTTTAAGAAAAAAAAAAAATTCACCAATCTTTCAGTGTCCTTATTTCACAGAAAAAATATATGTATAATATTAAGTACACTAAGTATAGTCAACTTGTTATTGTTGACACAGAATAAAAATCTAAATACATTTCTATTATCATGTAAACTTTAAATTTTAATTAAATCGTATTAACAACAAACAAATTTTTTTTTATTTATATATTCATGATATCCTTATTGAAAAATTACAAAACACTATTTCAATCTCAATAAAATTCTAAATTTACCTGTTAAAATAACCAGTATTTGTTTTTTTTTTTTCAATAAAATATTATTTTGTTATCATGATAAACGTCTACGGAAAAACTTTCCTGTATGTTTTAGTATAATTTATTCTCTCTGTGTCATGCTTCTTTTAACAACATTTCCGCTTCATAGGTTCAGTGTCAACGATAAAAACAACAGAACACAAGCAGAAAAACAACGACGTTTTTTCTAATGTGAATGATTCACTCTCATAAAAGAAAAAGAAAAGATCTGTTGTTTTACACGTCAAATTCAGTGATTCACTATATGATCGTCAGCTATTGGCACACTTTTCCACGCTGATGGACTAAGAACGGAAAAGGCATTGCGACGTATTTGAGCAAGAAATATATATATATAAATAAGCCATTAGAATAGATCGAGCTTGTTATTCTTCATTATCATGGAGACGCAAACAATAACAACATTGGCGAGCAAATCTTCTACAACCACAGAAGCTACTACTAATTCTAAAACATCCATCGTTAATTTTAACATTGATCAACAATGTCCTATTCAGTATGTTACTGTTTACAATGATCGTGCTGAAGTGACACGTCTTATAAAACATAATTTTAATAATCAAGGTACTTATGATCTTATATTCGAAGGTTTTTCACCATCGGTTGACTTAACATCATTACATGTAAGTGGTGGAACAGGTAAAGCTTGTACTATTCTTGAAGTTTCTTATCAAACACGTTATGAAACTACAACAGAAGAAGCAGATTTAACACCATTAGATCAATTACAAAATGAACTTGATAATGTTCAAGCTAATATTGATAAACACCAACGAGAATTAACAAGACTTGGTAAACAACGTACATGGCTTGATGGACGAGCATCAAAATTAATGAATCAAGAAGAACAGTTAAATATAAATGATCTTGATTTAATGCAACAATTTTTGGATTTTTATCATAAAAGTTTATTAAAACTAGATAATGAAACAATACATGAAGAAAATGAAATAAAAAAACTAACACAACAAAAAGATGGATTAAAAACTAAAATATATGAACATGGTGCAGAAGCACAAGCTAATCGTCGACAAACAAAACGAGAAGTAACAATAAGTGTTTATATAGGAAGTAATGATATTGATGTTGCATTGGAAATATCATATTTAATTAGCAATTGTTCATGGAGTGCTAGTTATGATGTTCGTGTTACTAGTGCAGAAGCAACACGACAAAAAACTCAACTTACTTATTATGGTATTATTGTAAGTCAATGAGAATTGGCATATTAACAAAATAAATGTTTGTATACTATCTTTAGGTAAACAAAAGTCAGGAGAATTGGCCTGATGTGCAGCTATCGTTATCGACAGCAGCACCATCGCTTGGAGGTGTTTCACCAAAACTTGCAACACTAAAAATAGGTTATGAAGTATCTTCTTATGACTATGACCGACTGTCAAATCTGAGATTATCAGGCTTGTCTTTAGGGTCCCCTGTAGATTTTGCAAGAAAGTCAAGTCGATTTGTAAAGATGCGTGCACGAGCATCTCTTAATTCTTCTGCAGTCGTGGAAGGAAATGAACAACAATCATTAGATGTGGTCAATGTTTTAGCTGCTCAAACTGAAGCAAGTATGTCAAGTACAAGTTTTGCTATTCCTCGACGAGCAACTATAGATGCTGATGTAAGTTTAGTTTCATTTTTTTTTTTTGTTTATTTTCTCATGTTTTCTTTTAAAAATCTTTCTTCAACAAAGGGCAAACCACATAAAGTAACTATTGGTATACTTGATCTAACTTCAACATTTACTTATACAGTTATACCAAAATTATCACTTCATGCTTATCTTAAAGCATCAACAGTAAATACATCCGATAAACAACTTCTAATTGGACCTGCATCAGTATTTATGGATAATAATTTTATTACTCATAGTGCAATCGATAATGTATGTGTAGGTGACACATTTGATCTGCCATTAGGTACAGATGCAAGTGTCAAAGTAGAATACAAACCAGCAAGAAAACTCACTGATACTCAAGGTCTTATTTCAAAAGTACATCATGAAAATATTCGTTATGAAACACATCTTACTAATACAAAATCAAGTGAAATTACAGTTTATGTTTATGAACAAGTTCCATTATCATCTGATGAAAAGATTAAAGTTAAATTAATAATACCTGATTTACGATCGAAAGAACAAGGTTTGAATTATACAGTAACAATGAATGATTCGAATAACTTGGAATGGAAATGTATTTTATCAGCAAAAGGTGAATGTCGTTTACCTCTTGAATATATTGTTGAATGGCCAATAGATAAACGTGTCGAATTTAAACAAGTTAATTAAGAACTCATTGAATACTATATTAGCTTTATTTTTGTTGCTTATTGATGTAATATTATAACATATTGTATACGTTCGTTTGAAAGCTTTAAAAATATTTTTACATCTATCAATATCGAAATATAAATATTAACTTATTTCAAATGCATTGTTGAGAGCACTCGAGAAAGATGTTTGTTGATTTTTGTCTACGTATAAATTTACTGGGCAGAAGTTCAAATAGGAGTAGAAAAAGTAGATGAACATCTATCATTGGTCTTCGTAGATGTGACCTATTTGTCGTGATTTGTGCACTAATTTTTTTTATATAGAGATAGGGTGATGAAAATCAACTGGATAGAGAAGACTAATCAAACAATTAGACAAGAAATTCAGACATATCGAAATAATATTATGAAGTAAACTATTTATTGGTTTACTGTTGTAGGCAACTAAGAATTCAGAAAAAAAAACTTATTTTTGAGTGTGAACGGCTAGAAAAAAAAAGAGCTACTAAATAAATAAGGCTACAAATTATTTGCTAAGAAAAAATATTAAAATGCTAAGTTGCCTTTTGCTAAGTAAAATGTCTATTTGTTCAGTAAAAAAATTGAATGCTAAGTATTGCTAAGTTTGATAAATAATCGCTAAGTAAAAAATTTTTTTTTGCTAAGTTAATCAATCGAAATTATACCAAAAAAATTAAATCGCTAAGTAATCATTATAATTACTAAGTAATTTCGAAGAAAGGCAATGTACGACTATCTGAGATAAGAAGATTATTTTTGAAAACATTTCTGATGGTGTTGAGAAAATAATTGAATTTAGATTCATGTCTGAAGTTCTGACAGCTGATGATTCTGGTGCTATACGGAATACACTTAAGAAAATGTTTAACAATAATAAAATGATGATATGCTAGGCACATATGTGTGAAGAGGTGAATAAAAACTTAAGAAATATTGAAAGTAATGATGCAAGACAGGAGATGTTATATGATATATCGACAAGTTACAATTGTGTGAATTGGAAACAATCTTTAAAAATGCATTGTCATTTATGTATGTAGAAGTGAAGCAAAACAGAACATCATCTTTCACAATATTTCGAAAAGAAATGGTTAAAAACTTTCCATTCTTGGTATGAAGGATACGATAACTTTATATTATGTACAAATAAGTCATTAGACGCAACAAATAGCTTAATCAAAGATGAGCATACATTGAGAGAACGACATTCATTATCAGGATTTTTATAATTGCAAATAATATTCTCCATAGATGGGTCAAATCTCAGAATCAGAGTCAAACAGATTCAATAATATATCCAACAGAACCAACAATTACATGTACATTACAAAAATGGACTAATGCATATCATTTTGCAAAATCATCATAATCAATATTACAAATATCATCGAAATGAAATGATTTCACTAATTACTACATATCAGCTGGCGGGGCACAAAATATTATAACAAATGAAATTCAGAAATACAAAAGAGAAAAAATGGACGTCGTTTGATCAATTTAATGATCTTCAATTTAGAATATGAAGAGTAACTTTATCAGACAATTCAACGGAATGGAAAAGCGACCTTTGCAATTGTCCAAGCTTTTTTAAAGAATATATTTGCAAACATATTATTGACATGGCTATTAGATTGAAGTTTTGCAAACCATCTCCATCAACAAAGGATATACCTTTGGGCGAGAAAAAACTTAGAAAATCAAACTCTTTTACTTATAATTTAAATAAAAAATTTAGCAAAAATTAATTTTTTTACTTAGCTTTTATTTAAAATTACTTAGCAGTTAAATAGTAGCCAATAAATAATACTTAATAAACAACATGAACAACTGGAAAGTATGAACAATATCATTCCGACATGGATAAACAAACTAAATAAATATATAAACAAGGAACAATGTAGTAGCAATATGTACTATTAGATATGATTGTATCTGGCCAAATTAATAAAAGAATCGTTTCCAGAGGCAAGGAATTTTCCACGATCTATTTCGATAGTTATATTGTTTCATGAAAAAACCAAGTTTCTGGTGAAAACTAGCAAGAGAACGTATTCATCGCTTTTGGATTCAGAATTGATATATACGGCAGACTCCAATGAGATATGAAAATCGCAAAAGAATAAGTCATTTTAAACTTTATTTTCAGAGTTATGGACATTTTATCAGAGTTTTTGTCAGTAGAAAGCTCTAAAAGTTTCTTGAAATACTGTCATTCAATTTGTTGGTATATACCATACCAGAGGCTAAAGTTTCAATAAAACGGCTATAAGTTTGCATCAAATTTCCAATGAGACTTATCCCTTGAAAATTTCTCATATCTCACTGGAGTCTACCGTATGCACTCATTTCGAATTCGAAAGCGACGGATCATTTGAAAATGTTCCCTAATACGAGAAATTTGAAAAAGTAGACAACCTGAATGGTCTGTGGCTGGCTCAGAAAGCAAGGCATGTGCTTATTTCAGGTAGGTAGGGAGCGGGCAAGATGGTCGTTTTACACCACTGTTGTCAGTTAACATACTTGTTTTCTGAAACTATTTCGACGCCATCTATTAGCTCAAGTAGTTTTCGATGAAGTATGAAATATTGGAAAATGATTTATTTTTGTTGAATTTTTCTTTGCTCGTTTTATTGTGTTTGTGGTCTACTTCACAATCTTCTGAAATAACAAACTCGATAAACTTATTGTTAGTTTGATATCTTGTCCATATATACAAGTCTTAGAATTAAAAGCATTCTCTAACATTTGTAGCTTAAACCAATGGTTTTTTTTTTCGAAATAGCACTTTTTATTCATAAAATTCAGATTTATCGTATTACTTATTAATAAATTTGTGATCTTTTTTTCAACCAGACGAGCATCGAGAGACAGAAGTATTGATTAGGCTCTGAGATCTATCTATCAACAAAATAACTGACTAAAACTATGTTATTCGAGTTTTTTTCCTGAAATATCTTACAGCAGTTCATAAATACAGCAAAAACAGTCATGATTCAAAAAAAAAACGTTTAGGCATATGTATGCTTTCCAAACTTTTCATTCTCTATCGAAATCTACTTATATATGGAAACGATAGAGGAAAAAAATATAGGAGATTATGACAGTAGTGTAACTTTCGAAGTATTGTTACTCATGATTATGTTCGATTGCCAACATCTGAGGTTCTCATTATATTTACACTTTTCTTTGAGTGGTTTGTAAGAGAGGGATCTTTTGAGCAATCCATATCTTCACAATGTGATATTCAATACGGAAGAAATTTTATACTACATGAGATGATCCAATCAAGACATTTATATGCATAAACTTTCTAACTGAAATTCCCAAATATGATTCTTCTCGAAAAAATGGACTCTGGCGAGGGAAATCCACTAAAAACTTTCTGTCTCGACCAAATCTAAACATAAGTAGAAATCCTTTGGAGGTCACACTATTCTAGTAATCTCCTATATGCGGGCAAACAGAGCAGGTATATGCTAGTGGCCCGATCGTTGAAAATTTGGGAGATGTTAGAAAAAATATTTTGTCCGAGATAATGCATGTTTAAAATAACGATAGAGTCATAAATGTTTTCTCTGTGTATAGAATACAGTTTAATTGATACTGTCACCATAGGAAAACCTACGTCGAAATACATAGCAAAGTTCTGTACTGGTAAAGATCAGAAGACACATCCACGCTTTTTCGCAACTTGATTACTTCTATCTTTTTTTCACTATTATTGGTACAAGAATAGATTTTCAATTGGGGACCATCTTAAGCGATTAAAAAAAATGGTTCTACGTTCCTTTTTTTTGCAAGAAAGAAAAATATCTTCATAAGCATTTCAAAAAATTTTTGAACACTTTTGACACCGAACGCGTTCACTTCAGCGATTATTAATCCAAATCATGCTTTAACAAAAAAATAACGAATCAAAGTTTTCTTAGATTAAGATTTAAGCCTTTGAAAACTGCTTACTCTCATACAACAGACACTACTTTCCGATGGAAAATTTTTTCGCGGACCGACTAAAGATTCTGCTATCTCATACTATCTCGTTTCTAAAAACTAAACTGTCATTGAATACTAGTTACCACTAGACACGTGCAATAGTAGTCTTAGTCTTGATGATCGAGACCAGAATCGAAATCTGAAATTCAATGACATTCTTACTCCTGTGGTTTTTTACAGCATGTCTTTCATTAATCATAAATCAATTCATTATTGTTATGATAATATCTTTTACTCTAAAACAAAACACATCATAATAAATATGACGACATAAATACAAATAAAATTTGCCGTTTGATATACATGTTTACTCATAATAAATGATGGAGAAGCTGTCTCTTCGGATTTGATTCACAAAATCATTTAAAAAAAGCTAAGTTTTTATTTAAAAACTTGATTTTATCTATTTTTAAGTAGCTAATTGTATTGATATTCTCAGTAAGTGTTGCATCTGAGTAGACATGTTCGAAATTAGTCCTGGTCGCCACGAACGAAACCGCTAGGAAAAAGCTACCGTGATCAGCGCCAAAAGATTTCGTGTAGCGAAAAACTTTCTAATTTTATTGTACAGAATAATATAGAAAAACATGATTTATTTTAATATGTTTAACAAATAATTAGGTTACTTCTCAGTGTTTATTTATTTCCCGAACATCTCACTCATATCAATAATAATAATTTCCGATTATTGAAGGCTGTCATAAATCTTGGTTGAGCCAGTTCTTAATCGTTTACTTGAAAATCTTTTCACGTTAGTCGATTCTGTTCGAACGAAAATATTATTTTTTATTCCTGTACTTACAATTGGATGCTATTTTAAAAAATGAGAAATGATGAATTTCAATCAAAAATATGATTGATATCATAGAAAGAAAAAAACTTTTGAATTTTCCAAATGATCTTATGTAATAAATATTTTACAATCGTTGAGAATGATCTCAAAAAAATGATATATATAGAAATATTATGAGTGAGTTATGATTTATTCAATCAATATTAAATATGTAGTTAATTATATGTTCCTAATATTTCGATAATAAATAGAAATTTTTTACAACTAAAATATTGATTACTTAGAATCTACTTTTTATTTATTGTTCAAAAAAGCTTTGTTTGTTTATTAACAATTTTTTTTATTAATTGCATCAATATATAAAATCAATGTCATTGAGTCTATTTTATTATTCTTTTAGAAAGTAAATATTCGTATTGGACTGTGTTGGAATAATTTTAATGTCGATGTATAAAGATTTATTTTATCTAATTTTGTATCAATCAGAAAGGTGTTTAATAAAAACATTTTTTTTTCACGATGAAAAGTACTATTATACATATTTTGATATATCTAATTAAATATAGCCATAAAAAACCTTGTAGTTGAAAGACAATCAAGAACGCTTATTAAAAAAAAAATAATGTCATAATTTAGATCATATATCGTAGATTATTCTTATCTATTTCGATCTTGTCTTTTTATTTTGTTAAAATTTTGAATCAATATCAATCTGTTGCTTTTCCTCATTTTATATTTTTCATTTTTTTTTCTTCTTTATCCATATTTCAATGCCACAAAACCATGACCAGTTCATCTTTCAATGACATTATATTATGTTTTCTGATATTTTTTTCTCTCTTTTTTTTTTCTCATACAGTTGCAATCCTCATCTACCTACGCGTCATCGCATTGCCGTCAAGCACCCACCCATGACGTTCTTGTCTGTTTGTCTCTGTTTGTATTACTCTTTCGATTTTTTTTTAGCATAGTAGTTATAAAAAAATGCTACTTGCATTTTCTTTCTCTCTTTCTTTTTTTTCTCTCTCTTTTTTTGTGCAAAGTATCTACTTTAACTACCACTATATTTGGGCATGGTTGAGCGAATTCGTATTGACTACTGTAGGGGTAGGAATATGAATTGCCTTCGAGATTCGATTTTTTTGTGTATACCTATAATATCATAGTCATCCCTTTTTGTCATGTTTTTTTTTGGAGGTCTTTACTCTTTCTCGATTTTTTTTTCTTACCATTTTCCCGTCTGATCGATGGGGCATTTGCTTAGGTTTTTTTTGAGGAGAGATATGTAATTATAAGTTGTTTTCCTTTTTTTCTTCTTCTCTTTACTGATCAACAAAAAACAACAAAAACGAAAAAGAGAGGAAGAGAAAGAGAGAGCAAGTGAATCGGACCGTGCTCGAGGAAGAAATATTGTATGTAGAACCAACAGCGTGTTGGTGTTAATGAGAAGGATTACAATAGAAAATTCTTCAACGATTTCATCATTTATATATTTTATTTGTCTTATCTAGATTTAGTCGCTGCCGACAGGACTTTTCTTGTAAAAGACCAAGATCATGTACCCTCAATCGCGACCATATCGAGTTCGTCGTCGTCGAGCTTCCTATTCTCGGTAAATTTATATTAAATATTGCACAAAAAAAAGTAGTATTTTGGAATTTTAAAATTTTTAGACGAGGACCAACATTTATCCCTCGAGCTCCATTACCAGGAGGTCCAGGAGCTGGATTAGGCGCTGGTGCCGCTGCGGGTGGTCTTGCCGGTTTAATCGGTGGTTTAAGTATACCACTCCTTTGTCTTGGTTGTCTATCAGCATTAGCCCTTCTAGGGCTTTTTGCTACTATGATTGGTGCTGCAGCTTATATGAGTAAGTGAATATTTTCTTTTTTAATTTGTAACATAAATTTAATTCTTATTAAATGATTGTTTTTTAGACGCCATTCAACAGCAACTTCGTAAAAATATTCAAGGTGCTGGTACGATGATTGAACTCAACCTTGTGGTTCTCTTCTGTGCTCTTATTTGCTCGATTTATATGTTATCAAAACATCGTCGTGGTGTTGCTAGCACCTGAGTGGTGATTCAACGTATCTAATCAAACACCTTTATACACATTTTGAACAACACACACGCATATCTATCGAAAGAACTATTTTTTTGCAACACAACTATATTTTTCTTTCTTTTTTTATATTTTGCGCGCCGGAAAAAATGTCTTTTTTTTTGAACAGGTACAATACGTTATAATATTAACAACAATAGTCAGTTGGCATCGTCGTCGTCGTTATCATTTCTTTTTTGCAAAAAATATCAAATAAAATGCTGCTGAATTGTTTCTATTATTAAATACATATATACCTGTTTTAATCTTTTATTTTCTGTCGCTTGTCTATTTTTTTGTCTATGAATTATTAAAAACAAAATAAGAAAAAGCAAAATATATGCATATTTTTATTGCATAGATGATAACTGAATAAGATTAGATGTTGAAAAATATGTCGAATAAACATATTCAAGAGACGATCTACTCATTTAAATTTAGAATTTTTTTATTATTCAATTCATTTATCTAACATATTTGATTAGATAATTTTATTTGGTAACAATAAGTTTCGGTTGGTTTTTTTTTCTTTTTAAATTGGACTCTTTTTGTTCTGTACAAACATGTGTGATTATCATAGTCGAATTTTATTATCAAGGTCGATGCTCGTTTACTTGCTTGTATATTCGTCAGACGCCTGTCATTCTTTTACGTATACATGCGTTCGTTTTTTTGCGTTCCGCATGATTTATTTTTTTTGCACTTTTTTTTGTCATACATATACATATATTCATCATAAAATATGGAGGCTGATGTGCATAACTTGTTTCTCTCTTTTTCGGTTTTTTTTTGGTAGTTAATGTAGGTAAAATAACTTTTTTTTATATAGAATATGTCATATTTATTGGTGAGAAATATATTAGTTCCTCTCTCTCTCTTATACTATCATGAAAGCAAAAAAATGCCGTCAACCATGACGTGAATGTGTATGAATGTCTCCTTCGGATGGGAATAGATAGATAGAGAGAGACACCGAGAGAAAAAGAAACAGAGTATGAAGAAATACAGTGGCGTATTTTTTTCAAACAATAATTAACGTCGAGCCCTATATGGTTATGCTAGGACGAAAGAGGGAGAGAGAGCACATATACGAGGATTTAGCATTGGTTATTTGTTTTTTTTTCTCGTTAAAGAACAAAAAATGCTGACTTTTTTCATTGATCATGAACTATTAGATTTTTTTTTTGTATTGTCATCTTATTTCTAGATCATTGCCCAGCTTTGACTGAGAAATGTACAGACCAAGGTAAGTACAACTTTATCATTATTAGTTTTTAATTTTTACAATTAAATATGGAATTTCTATATCAGACCACCAATACGTCCACTTCCTCCTCCTGCTGCTGCTGCTGGAGCCGGTGCTCTTGGCGGAGTATTAGGTGGCTTAGGCGGTGCTGTCACTTGTATCTGCTGTCTAGCAGCCATTGGCCTTCTTGGACTTTGGGCGACATTTATTCCATTTGTTGCCTTTTTCAGTAAGTTGTTTTGAAAATTTTTTTTTTTTTTCTTCGATCAACTCAATTATGTTTTTTTTTACTTTCTATTAGAATATGCATGGGATCAAGAAACAAGAGCTTTCGGTAGTGGTCCAAGTCTTCAAAATTTTCAACAAATTGTTATTCTTCTTGCTATCTGCTTATTGACAATTCGTTTTGTCAAGCGGCAAATCAATACATAAAATCAATTAAGAAAAAAAAAAAAGACTATTTTTTTGCATATCGAACTTCAGTTGTCGTCGTCGTCATCGTTGTTTTTGTCAAACTTGTTGCACATCAATATGTACACGCGCGCTTTATAAACACAAAGAAATCGAGAGAGTAGAGTCGTCGTCGTCATCGTTATATATAATCGATCCCAAACACCACAGTTTCTCTTTTTTTTTTGTCTCTATCTCTCTACAATTTTTTTTGTCTTTTTTTTTCATATAATATTTTTTTTTGCTATTGAACAAAGCACGCGTCCGCATACATTGATCTTTTTATATTTTGTTCAAGGTGAATTACAAGAGAAAATAATCAAAATATCACAATCAATTGATCATTTGAGAATATTTATTATTTTATTTAGAATATGTTATTATGAAAAAAAAAGAAGCTTGTAGTAATATGAAAAATAGAGAGAAAAAAAAATTGAAATTGTATCAGTTAATTTTGTTATACATTGAATATAATATGCGAAAATGAGAAAGTCGATTGTATCACGAATGAAAAATTATTCCGAAATCACTATTGACTGTTTTTTTTAATTAAACATAATCACAAGTTATAAATCGAAAGATCATTACAAACAGAAAAAGAAGTACAAACTTGTTATAGTTTACAAACCTAACCTTACTTGTTTACAGTTGCATAATGATATAATAAACCCGAAGTGTATAAATTCATTTAATCATAGTCGTCAAATGCACTGAAACTAGTGTATTATTGTTTATATCCTACAGGAGTAATTTGTTTTTTTTCTCTGTGATGTATAGCACAAAAAAAAACCGTAATAACAAAATATTGACGTCAAAAATGTTTTTTTGTCTTGTTATTGTATTTTTATTTACATTAAGATTTTTGTGCTAAAAGTTTATTTGTATATAGTTAAGCAACTGTAGCTATATTGAGTAGTACTAATAATGTTCATCAAGCATATAAAGTTTCATAAATATTGAATATTCAAAAGTTTTACTAGAATAGACTAGAAAACAAGGATATCTTCTTCGAAAACAGTAACAAAAAAAGAAAAATTAATTGATAGCTTGTCTTCAAAGAACATTAGTATTTATACACGTTTTATATATTTGTTTTGCGTTGCTATTAAACCTACTTGCACGTGAGTTTATTTCTGTCAATATTAATATAATAGGTTATAATTAAAAATGTCAGATATCGCTCTTCATTATCTGTTTTAAGAAATACTACCACTAGTTGAAGATATGACTATGATACATTTGTTAATATTAACACTTATAGAAAAAAAAAAAAGGAATTGTACAGTTGCCTATCTATGTACCGGTTTAGAATTCTAGTGAAAAATTTCATCTCCTACATTTCTCTATGATGTGAGTATGTCTATTTGTTTTATAATATGACATATGTTTTTACTAGACAATACCACTTGTCTATTTTCATTCATTCTAAAAATCAATTCATTGTATATTATGTTATTTTTCTTTGTACTAACCAATTTACGTATTTGGTAATCGACTCGATTACTATTTTCAGATATTTAACAAGTTTTGTATTATAAGACATATTATATAATACAGAGACTGAAAATAAAAACTGGGATATGTAATACAACCGGTAAGATGAATGAAACTTTATTTGATTTTGATCAAAAAAAGAAACCTTCTGTGTAAATATCAAATTTTTGTTAGCTTTTTTTCGAATGAATTTTTTTTGGTTAAAATTTTTTGCTAATACAGCCTATAAGAATTTTGATACTATCAAACTCGAATTTGAATAATTTTTTTTATTTAGATATGTATATTTCTTCCTTCAAGCTCTAAATTTATGTAACATTATTTTGTTTATTAATAATTAAATATAGAATCATGAAAAAAAAACAAATGTTTTTTTCAATTTTCAAAAGTAATTTTTTTTTTCGAAAAAAAATCTTGAATCTTAGATTTCATTATAAACGATGTCAATTAATTTCTACGAATCATAAGTTTTATATATTTTTTTATTTTTTTGATATTTTGCAATTATTCAGACATTCTTCTGATCTCGTGACACCACTAATTCAGAAAAAAAATAATTATACAATCACTTTTGCTTAGTTAATATTGAGTCACAATACCAGTAACAATAATTAATGTCATGTTTTGTTATGAGACTTAATATGCGAGATTTTTCTTTTTTGTGTAAGATCTATATTTGAAAAAATTCCTTTTTTTCTTAAAAATTCAATGTATTCTATATTTATTCATGGATAAGAAAAGTTTTGTATAATGGGTGTAGCTTAAATTAGATTTCATGTTACCCAAAAATATTTATTGATTAGTAGTGACATCTATTAATAATCAAGAAATAAATATTTATCTTAAAATTCAAATAACGTCATATGAAAATTCCCACTAATATAAAAAGATAATGTTCTTATGTATTCTCTGAATTTCGTGTAAGAAAAATTACGCTACTATCGATGTTATCGTTATATTGAATGATGTATATTACCAATAGTGAAAAATAGAATACATCTATATATATATATATAGATAGATATTATTCGGTTGTTATTTCGTTTATACCAATTAATTTTATCAACATATTTTTCTTATTTTGGTCCAATAATTAAAAATTGAATATTGAAAAGAAATATAATAATATTATAATCAAATCAAATATTTTTATAGAAAATTAATTATATATTTTCTATTTTTTTAGATGTCTTCTTCCCAAGAACAATCAAAAAATTCCAGCAATGAACAACCACAAAATACAAATCCTACGCCTTCAGCACCTATTGATCCTCTTTACAGTGACTATGAAGAATATCCACCAATAAATCAAAACTATTCGTATGTTATGATATAAAAAATTGATAATTTTAAAAGTTACTTTTCATGAGAGATGATTTTTTCTTTGTGTCATTTGATAAGTACAAATTTTTAATCTTATTATGAAAATTTCAAATAAAATTTAATTCATGAGAATAGAAAGAATAAAATTTCTAGCTATTATGAAGTCAAAACAACTTTCAAAAAGTATGTTTAATCAATTTTTTATCATTGTATTAAAATGATTCATTCCCTGTTTTTTTTTTTTTATCTTAAAATATAACGTAGAAAACTTTGTTTTTATACCTTGTAGATTTCAAAAAAAAAGAAAACCAAAGGTCATGACAAGTCGAAAATATTTTGATAAGATTTTTTAGTATATTATTTAAACGCAAAATTAACCATTTAAGTAGAGTACCAAAGATTTGAACGCATGTTTCTCATAAATTAGTTATCAAATTCATACATTATTTACTGTTTAGAAAGCTTTTTAGACTTAAATATTCTTTGTATTTTTCTCTAAATTTGCTAAAAACATTAAAGATACTAATGATAATAGAGTTACTATTTTAATTGACTTTGTATATTTATAGTGAAAACTCTAGTAATCAATCATCATTAATGCATGGTGGTCCTCATTATGATTCAGCAGGACAAATGTAAGAAAACTGTTTTATCAATATTTATAAATATGCGTTTATTTGAAGAGACCCTAATGAACAATATGAAAATATTGGTAATGATGATGATATTCCCGATGAACTTGAAAATGAACTTGAAGCAACAGTTGAAAGAATGACAAGTGAACAATTAACTGATAATGATGAAGACGAACCAATCTATGCTGAAGATGTACAAAATGCATTTGCGCGATATGAAAACGAGGTACGAATAAATGACATATGTTTTTTCTTTTCCTCCATGATTAATTAAATGTCTATGATTATGCCTTTAGTATTCACAATATTGGAACCAGAATAGACCGGTATATTTGCATACTGCTTTATTCTTTTTCTAATAGAAAGTAGATAACAATAATAGAATAAATCATTTTATTTTAGATATGGAATAATTTTTCCCAAGACGAGGTATTAATAATAATAATATGCTCTTTTTCTTTTATGTAATCATAATACATTTACATAATCAATAAATCTGTTATATTATATTTCATTTGATATTTATTTTTTTTTATTTTTATTTTCTCTTCTCTAGCAAGATGAAATGTTTGAACAAATGCGTGAATGTATGCTTTTTATGGAACAAGAATATTCTACTGCTGAAATGCCAAGTAAACTGGTAATTTTTGTCATACACAAAAAATAACATGTTTTGATTAAATGACACTTTTTGTCATTTATATTAATATTCTATTTTTAGATTGAAATCTCACAGACAACTAATCTAAATCCTGATGCAGCTGAATTTCGACCAGCAAATTCACAAGCAGCAGTAGCAACAGATAAAGAAAGAATTGTTGTTGTATCATGGGTGCCGTGTGAAGCTAAAAAGCAAAATGAGTAAAAAGACTTTTAAGTATCCACTTATATGCCTTCATAATAACAAAAAAGGCATATTGTATATTTATCAAAGAAGTTCACCTGTATGATTGTCACATCGCTTGTTTCCAATTCATGTTCGTCATTTTCTGAGTTTTTTTTTTTTTTTTTCATTCTTTATATTGTTGCGCACAACTAGGAAGAGGCAATGTAGTGCTTTTATGTAAGCTTCTTTTTTTTTATCAGAAAAGAAAAAAAGTAAAAAAAGAAAATATTATCGTCTACAAAACTTATGACCTTCAGTAGAGTTTGAATATTTTATCGCGACCGTTTTTTTTTTCTTTCCTATTTCAGATAAGATGTCAGCGTTTCGCCGAAAATATGACTGCAAACATTATTCTACCAAAACTTCTATTCTTTTTCATTTTTATACTTAAAGAAGTAATGTATTTCTTTTCATTCAAAACTATTGATGGAAAAAAAAAAACAAAAAACAAATTTTTGCGTTTCAAGTTAATGAGATTTTTGTTTAATAATAGATATATATATATATAATACATTTTTAAATATTCGATTTAATTAAAAAAAACAAATCATGGCATCATCAGGTTCTTCGAAACTCCCTCCTAATTATTCTCCTGATAAATGTATATCATCTGGTGCCAGTAACATATCCCTTGATGAAAGTGAAGCTTCTATTCGTATACAGGATAGTAATATGAATGGAGATTCCTATATCAATACACCCTCACCCTCATCAAGTGCGACAGCAAGCACAACTGATCGTTCAATTCAATATCATTCATCAAGATTAAAAAGTAAATTAAAACAATAATAAATAATTTTGTTTTTCTCTTTATAATATAACAGATGCTTTTCGTTTACCAAAACGTCGTTATCGATATGATAAATTATTCCATCTTACACATTCTCTTAATCGACAATATGTAATAGCAATGACTAATATACTTTTTCAAATGCAAAAAGAAATATATAAATTAAAAAGACGCACATATTATGTTGAACATGCACTTGCTAAACAAAAAGCTTCTGGTCATCCAATTATACGTATACGACGTTTAACAAAAGGTAGAATATTATCAAACGAGAAAAAACAAAATAGTAATTTTTTGTTTTTTTTCTTTTTACTGATGTTTCTTTGGGTTTTTTTTTGTTGTTTAGATGAAATTTCAACAATATGTGTTAATAATAATGAAAATCAACAAAATATTACGTCGAAAATGTCCGAAGAACATGTAAGTAATGTTGAATCACAACGAACAATACTGAAAAATATCAAATCACTAAGTAAATATTTCTATTAGTATAATTTTCTTATTTAGTTTTGTTTTTGTTTATTTGTCTTTTAATAGATGAATATAAACTTGATACTGAAAGTTCCATAACAATAACAAATAAACTTGAAGATCATAATACAAAAGTTCATCGACGAAAACAATTAAATCCTAAAAATAAATATTGTTCAAGATGTCAACATGAATTTTCACATCGATCAGCTTATTTACGTCATATGAGAAAAGTACATCAAGGAAAATTTCCAATTAAATTGAATAATAATCATACATCAGAGGTAATATTATTCAAGAGAATACTTAAGAACTTTTTTTTGCTTGTTTTCTCTCTATATGTAGCGTGACGTTTGTCATATTGAAACAAATAATTTAATCAGTGATCAATCAAGTAATCAATAAACGATTCAAATTATGATGATTTTTCATTTGTTTTGTTATGTTTTTTTTCTTTTACTTTTATATTTAGATATTTGTTCAGAAATAGATAATACAATGGAACAAGATCCAATGCAAATTTTAGTTAATCAATGGGATATTGGAGAAGGACGATTACGTCCGAGACCAGTATCTAAATTAAATTTTGAACCTATCAGCAAAATAAAGTGCGACATATGTAACAAGTTTTTTCGTGCTGAATACATTAAGGTTCGTATATATAATAATGTTTTTCTTTTACTAATATAGAAAGGAATAACTTACATGAACAAATAAATACCATCTGTAATCACCAATAGAAGACTACAATTTCCAGTATTTACTTTTAATTCTTAGTGAAGGAGATTATTTCAATAGTGAAGATCATGAATTTCTTTTAATATTATACGGCGAAATCCATGAGCAATGAATGTTTCTTTTTGTTTATTGACACTGTGATAATATTTTAACAACTTGTATCGCACATTTGTTTGCATTATCCTCGGTTACCTGTAGTAGATTGCCAGTCAGAGAGCAAATATTGATATGTCGCGATAGAGTGACAGTCGAAAGATAATCAACAATTCAAATGTCAAACAACCATCGGTTAGTTGCTGATATACACATAGTTTTTGTCCAGACACATGACAAAGGACATTTAAGTTTGTGTAGCAGAATCCCACATATATAAATTTTTTATAGAATGAAAAAAGATATGATCACCTGAACATAAGATCAATAAAGTGAACTACAGAAATTACTGAATATTTTCTTTGTACGATTTGTTCTAATGACTTGAGTAAGTCTTTCCATATGATCGTCTTATTATTGTCTAATATTGTGATTTTATAATTGAAATAAAAATTCAATATTCATTATTTTTTATTATAAATTATAATCATTTAGAAACACAAAAGACGTACTCATCATGTTTCTTCTTCAAATGAATTAAATGTTGATTTAAGCCCAAAAAAGTCCATGAACAATGAAAGTATATACGAAATTCAACCAATAGCTAGTGAATCATCTACAAATACAACAAATCCACCATCAGCAATAACAATAGCTGATTTGGATACTGATGAAATGCCAATACGATTTCGTGTATGTTTTATATTAATATAGAATATCATGAATGAAATCTTATTTCTGTTTTTTTTTTGTCTTCTCATTATTATTTAGAGAGATGCAAACAAACCAATTGTTTTTTCTGTAACATGTCTTGATCGTTATCAACAAGTGAGTTATTCGCTTTTGACCTATGATATATAATCATATGAAATACATTCTAGGATATAGTCGAGGAATTTTCACGAAAATTTTCAACTCGTGTTACTCAAGCCCAATCTATTACTCCTCAAACAACACATTTAATAACCAATGATGATAAACGTATATTACGTTCACCATTATCAATGAAATTAATTGAAGCTATAGCAAATCATTGTTTTTGTGTTTCATATCGTTGGTTAATTGATTGTATTAAATATGATAGAATTGTTGATGAAACTACATTTGAAATTGAAGGTGACGATACAGATTATCATTCTCAAGGTGGACCAAAACGTTCACGTTCAATTGATAAACGTCATTCACTTTTTGATAATATATGTTTTATGATCAAATGTACGGAAAATAACGAAATTAAAATGACAAATGATCGTTTACAAGATTTAATTACAGCATGTGGTGGACGAATAATAACTTGTGTAACACAAAGTTTACTTGAACAATTCGAAATTGTTGTTCTCTGTGATAAATTATATGTATCAGAACGACGTCATAATTATGAGCAATGTCGTTCATTAGGTATACATTTTGTTTCATCCGATTGGGTTCTTGAATCTATACTTGAATATCGTCCAAAATCATTTGTGTTATACGAAGAAACTCCGTTATAATTGAAATTTTATTTATGTATTTTATTTTGTCGTTTTATATCGAATATTGTTTTTTTTGTACAAAAAAATATAAATCAAGATATATTTGATTAAGAATGAGCTCTATTATTTGCTTGACTTGTAACTTTATTCTTTTATTGTAATAGATAATAATTATAAAAAAAAAAAAAAAAACGAGAAATCTAATAATAGTAAAAATATGACAACAACAGCAAGTACACCGTCAAATTTACCTGATAAAGATCAAATTCGTGTACATGTTCGACGTGACGGTTCGATTGAAAGACAAAGATTTAATGGACGAGTTTGGAGACAATTATGTAAATATGATGGCGGAGAAGAATGTCAGGCATTTGTTGCTTATAGAAGTCTTTGTGTTGGGCATTATCATCAAACATCCGGTATAACTGTTAATGAATCAAAACGTCGTCAATTGATTCAACAATCAGCAGCTGCTACTGCATCGTCAAAAGCAACAACAACAACAACAGCAACAATGATATCATCAAAAGTTCGATGTTGTTAGTATATTTATTAATATTGAAATTTTATTAGAATCGAAAATGATTTTATCGTCTGTTTAGCTATTCAAACGCCTTTAACTCTTGGTCTTAAAAGTAGGTTATTGATTTGTTTAATGATATGTTTTTTTTTTTTGTGTTTGAATTATAAATAGATTGGCGACGAAAAACAGCACAACCGAATTGTAAGTGGTATTACTTGTAGTCCGAGATTTTTACAAATATTGTTCCAATTACGAAAGAGTCACAACGAACTTCATGACCTATCTTAAAGCAGTATACCATATATATAATTTTGCAGAGCAATTTACAACACATTAAATTCTAATATGATAAATCAATATTTACTCAAAGCTTAGTGGGCTATTGATGTATAGACTGGTGTTAATCTTTGAGAAATATACATGGCATTGATAGATATTGTGGTCTCGATACTAAACTCATACAAACTTAGTATTGAAATTGAACTTGGCAGAATTATAAATTGTCTTCAATTTTCTATAATCAATAGTTTTCATCATATTTAAACAGGTTCACTTATCTTAGGTCTCGTTTATATCTTGACTATATGATATTCCAATGTGTTCCACTTTGTACTATAGAACATGTAAGTACTAACGTGAATCTGTCTCGGAAAGTTGCCTGCTTTCGAACTCGACACGTTTCAGATGGAACAACAGCAAGTCCTTGCTAATTTGCAACATTATTTCTCAGAATAACCTACTTTCTTAGAAACAATGTCGGTATACTTCGATATTTTTTATAATTGTTATATACCTATAATCAACACAGCATCCGTAATAAATTGATATTATTTCATAAATGAAAAAAAAGGCCTTCAAACCACGGAAGAAGAGTACGGAAACATGGAAAAGTTATTTTTGACATGAACATAAGATATTTATAGATTTTTCTAGGGTTTTATGAATAAAGCAAACCGGATACTCTAAATAAAAATTTGAAAAAGAAATAATTAAAATAACATTTCTTCTATCAAGAAAATAGGCTAGTCTGGCAAATAGTCTTGCAAGTTGACAATGATTCTAGACTCTTCCGTCTGAAACATATAGAATTTGGTAATATAAAAGTTTTAAGAAAGTATCATATTGGTACTCAAATGTTTTGTAGTACACAGTTTTAAGTATGATGAAAAGTATTGATTATAGAAAATTGAAGAGCACTTATAACTGTATCAAGTTCAGTTTAAAAACTGAATTTCCATAAGTTTATTCTATGAACTACAATATCTATGAGTATCATCTATATTATTCCAAGATTATAACTAGGATATAGACCCATAATAGATCAAAATTTGAGTAAACTTTGATTTCTTGTATATCATTCAGTATGCCATAAATTGCTCTACAAAACTATCTATATGATATCTTAGTTCAAGATAGGCTCCTAAATCCAGTAGAATCTCTTTCAAATACAAGCGCTTACTTTCTTTCTTTAAAGTCCTTTCTAAAATTGAAATATGCCTGTTTTATATCGATTTATATGAAAAAAATTCAATTCATAATAAGTTCTATTCGAAAAATATTCGTACGACTATTTCTTACTTCTTTGCTGTATGAGTACTTGCATAATCATATATATGATATTATTCTCATATGATTTAGCATCAACATCTATAAACAAACAATCGTCTCAAATATCTTCCATAACTCTAGTCAATAAGAATAGTAATAAACGTCGAAAGTCAGATGAATGGGTTCTTCTTAAACGATGTCGATATGATTCAACTCAACATAGTATGTTGCATATTTTTTGTTATATGAAAATCGAATTTGTTTGTTTATTTTTTAATTTTAGTACCACCTGTTCAATCAATTTTACCTAATACATCAACAACTATGGATGAATCAGCTGCAACATCCGATGTAAAATCATAGATGAACAAAAATGAATTTTGCATTTTCTTTTAGTTTTTATATTTATAGTCCAATCAAGCATGTTCATCTGCTAGTTCAATTGATAGTCATGCTGATGATTATATTTTGGCTCAAAAATCAATGTCAATAACTGCATCTCGTCTAACTGATGAACAAATGGTAAGAAGAATCAAAAAAAAAAAAATAATAATAAAAATCAATTATTATTATTATTGTTATGAATCGATTGTTTCAATCAGGATCGTCTTGATCAATTTCTTCAACGTTTTAATATTCATTATTCGGATGAAATTGATGAAAAAACAACACATTTAATAACTGATGATACAACAATTCCATTTGTATGTGCTTTATCATCAAAAGTTGTTCATGCATTAGCACGTCATTTAACTGTTTTATCAATACGTTGGATTGATGAATGTCTTCATTGTGATAAACTTTTACTAGATGAATTAGCTTTACAATTTGAAATACGTGGTGATTTAACATGTTCAACAATGTATCATGGTGGTATGCAACGTTCACGTCTTATACCACGAAGACATTCATTATTTTCTAAACATATATTTATGCTTAAATGTAATGGTGTACAAAATGTAAATATGATTTTTCAGTCGAAGTTTTGAGGATCTCTCTCGTCATAATAGAAGGAAGGATAACGATTGTTGAGCATGTTTTTATAGCATCCAAGGGAAACACGTGGTAGACTGACTACTTTCCTAGAGTTCCGTAACAAGGAAAAAAGACGTTGAATGATATTCAAAACAAACCTATCGAAGGAAACTCATTAGCTGTCTTCTTTCAATTTCAATCATATTAGGATTATAGATGCTTAATCGAGACCCGAGAGTGAAACAACAGAGATTTCAATCTTAAAATCTGCCGTTTGCCTCTCGTCGAGACTACTACACAAGAAGTTATCGAATTGGAACGAAAAAAACTTGGTCCTGCAAAACTTACTAGTGATAAATTAACATGTTTTTCAGCTTATTAAGACGTAGAATAATGCATTGAGATCTGTTGTAGATATAATAGATATATACTAAGACATCTTTGCCAGTGAAGACCATCGCCTTAAAAAAGTAAATTTTGATCAGAAAAATCGCAATTGAGATAGTCTACGGTCTGATCTTTTATTTAACACCTTGTTTTTTATAAAAATTTTCGATGATTTTCAAGCTTTAATACTGCTATATGAACGGATAATTTCAAAATTAGAGATCATTTTTTGGAAATCTTTTCTTCCCTTAAAATATAAGATTTTCATGAAAAAAAATACTCTATCATGTCCTGCATCTTGACATATGCTTTGGCATAAAAAGAAAATGATACATATAAAATGAAGATCTACAGAGAATTTTGAATTGCCAACTGAACAAGTTTGACCCTTTGTTACATGTATATGTCGTAGTAGAAATTAAAATTCAGTAGAATTTAAAATTCTACTAGTAGAAATTAAAATTTCAATTTCTACTAGAAGAAATTGAAATAACCGGCGATTTTAAGTTGCACTAGTGGAAATTAAAATTTTAATTTCTACTATAGAAGAATTTTAAATTCTACTAGAAACTTACACTATAGAATTATGTGAATATCTCCTAGAATAGAAAATAAAATTAACCCTCATTCGAATGATACAATATGTAGAACGCAAAGAAAAAAGATTTTGATATTTAATTTGAAGTTCTCGCGTCAATATCAAAATAAAAAAGACTTGAATATTACATGAAATGGAACCATTTTATTCGAAATTTGATAAACATATAGAATCTTTAGGCGAAAGATTTCGTTCAAAGTTTGTTATCACACAAGCTGCTTATAATGACATCATATACGGTAATAAAAGGTGGTTGAGGTGAAGCTATTTAAATTCTAGCTCCATAAACACTTTAAATTAGTTACTATTGGGGAATTACAAGTTGTTTATGCCATTAAATCGAATAATCTAGTGATCACATAAGGTTTAATTTTATTTCTATTCTAGGAGATATTCACATAATTCTATAGTGTAAGTTTCTAGTAGAATTTAAAATTCTCCTATAGTAGAAATTAAAATTTTAATTTCCACTAGTGCAACTTAAAATCGCCGGTTATTTCAATTTCTCCTAGTAGAAATTGCAATTTTAATTTCTACTAGTAGAATTTTAAATTCTACTGAATTTTAGTTTCTACTACGACATATATTCCCTGAAAACATCATAATAAGGAGCTGAAAATTTTATCATATGGACAAAGACGTATATCAATGAAGAGAAGAAAATAGAATGCCAATAAAAAAAAAGAAAAAAAGCTATCTTTTTTCTTGCCGACCCATGATTCTTGGAAAACAACCATAGTCTTCTACAGATTTTTTTCACTCTACTAAATTTTATATTAGTCTAATGAAGCTAAAAAACTTCTTAAAATTTGATTATATTTAGTTAATGGATAATCAAGAATTACGTACATTAATAACCTTATGTGGTGGTCATACATGTTCATCATTACGTACAGATCAAGTAACACGATGGACAGCACAAGGTAAAATGATTGTGGTACTTTGTGAACAATCATATGTTCAAGAACGTCAAGATAAATATTGGAA